ACTACTTAAGCAAGTCCAGGGATACATCTGAGACAGAATCTCAGGCAACAGCACAGGCTGGGGACTGCTGGAAACCCTGCGTGGGGAAGCAGGAGCTGCGCAGAAGAGGATCCAGAGTCCTCACACAGAAAGATGAGCATGAGTCAGCAGCAGCTCTCATCACTGCAGGCCAGTCACTGCACACTGGGTGCAGCGAGGAGCTTGAGGGAAGCAATTACTACCCTCTACTCTGCTCTTAACACTACATTTAGAGGAGAGTGAGCCCAGTTCAGGATCCACCTACAGAAGAAAGGCATTGAAATACTGCAGCAAGTCCAGGCGCCAAGACCATTAGGAGGCTGAAGCCCACGACTTCAAGCTGAGAGCTGAGTTTATTCAGTCTTGAGAAGAAAAGTCGGAGGGGGATCTCTTGCTGCCACCTTCAACTATTCAGTGGAAAATAATACAGAAGATGCAGTCAGAATTGTCAGAAACCCACAGCAAAGGATAAGGGGCCACACAGTCAAGTTTCAGCAAAATAACTAAATGCAAGGAAAAAAAAAAAAAAAACCCAACAACTTCTCAAGGAGGGTGGTCAAACATTAGGGCAGGTTGCCCAGAGTGACCACATCACATCCGTCTTGGAGATACTCAGAGCTCAAATACACCAGGCCCCAAGCAACTCTGAGCAACTTCAAAGCCTCCAGGCTCTCAGTGTGGATCTCCAGAGTTGCATCCCAATCTGAATTATTCTCTGCTCCCTTGTAGTTTTCTTTTTGTTAAATAAAGGTATGTTCTCTATTTCTGTTCCCTGGATACATCTAGTCTTTGTGTATACTTTATAATCCTGGCGCAGTTCACATTGCATAGTCCTGGTAGGAAGCATAATCAGTCATAACAAACCAGATAGGAAATTAGTGATGGCAACACAGGTTTGAAATTAAGCAAATTGTTTAAAAGCAAGCAGTCAAAATATATTTTAATGAACATCTTCAGTAATGCTGTTCCATTTAGGATATAAACTACTGCTAGCTACGCTTTGGTATTTAAGAGGATTGAAAGAAAATACACATACTCATTTAAAAGAATGATTAAAAACACAGCACAACCGTTCAGAAACTGGATTAAGCTAAACATAGCTGCAATCTTCAAACTTCGTTTTAACCAAATTTAAATGKCTGTAACTGAAGCTTTTAAGTTATAAACATGCCAATGATTCCTTCCCTTCTCACTTTTCTTTTTAGCCACTGAATACTCTATTGAAAGTATCAGCGCTCCAAGTCAAGAACAACTCACTTGTAACTACGAATCTGACATGGATATAGTGAGAGCAGATTGTCTGCAAGGGAACAAGAATAAACCAGCTATTTAGAGAGATTATGTAATGTAGTTCGGAGCTGTAAAATAAGATTTAAAGACACAGTTCTGAATTTCTGCACTCCAAATACCTCTTTAAAAGCTGGACAATAACAGGGCAGCTTGAAGAAGCTCAGAAAAAGAAAGAAGTCTTGTCAAAGGGACCGTCTCTGGGTTAATATCTAATTCCTGTTTCTCACAACTAACAGCACCACTTCAGGGGCTCTTTTGTCTAATCTTTTAAAGCCAAGCTGAAACACCTCTTTACATCATGTCACACAAATATTATATTAAAATGAATACTAAATGAACAAAAATAAACCATGATCCTGAACCTAAGTCCTGAACGTAACCAGTTAGCATAGCACAACACAACAGGGGGGGAAAAAAGTGATTATTGACACACACAACAGTACTAGGTCTTTCAGAGATAAACATTTTAACAAAGTGCAAATAAATAAAAAACACACTACAGCTAACTCGCAAACATCCATAATAAAGAAAGGCAGAGAATGCTAATTGCCGAGCACCACTGCATTATAAATAGCAAGGAAAAATACAGCAAAGTCTCACGTGAAAGAGAGACTAGTTCTGCGTATTGGACATACTTACACAAATCTGGAAACTAAAACCACCAGAGTTTGCCCATAGCTTTGTGTAGGTAATATAATAAATACCGGTGTGCAAAATTGTAACTTCATAGGAAAAATCAGAACTGTTAAGCAACTATTGGTGCTGGAGGTTTTAATTGTAATTTCTCCACTTAGAAAAGGAAGAAAAGACTGAGTTGTAAATTGCTACTTTTCGGTATTCTAACGAAAAACTTTCATCTCATTCAAAACACCCCTTAACTGCAAGCCTCAAAAAGCAGCCGCCTCACGAATGCAGCCAACCCAGATGCTGCACTAAGTGATGACGCCAGACACAGCGGGGCCAAATCACTTCCTTTTCACCCCGGCTGAAAAGGCAGACAATGCAGCAGAGGAGGATGCGGGCCAAACTACACAGGGGAGCAAGGGAAGGCAGGGGGAGGTTGTTGTTTGAGGGAGCGAGGGAAGGCAGGGGGGGGTTGTTGTTTGCTTCTCGAGAGCCCTGCTCTGCTGCTGGACTCTTCCCCGGGCGCTGTTGAGCCTGCAGGTTGCTGGCAGCGGCGCAGGGCGCTGTGATTCTGTGAGCGCTGCCAGCGCGCTCGGACCACACACACGGGCGCTCTCGGCGCTCCCCAGCGCTGCAGACAACCCCCGGAAGAGTCCTGGCTCCATCAGGCCTCCCACGGGCTCCGCTCCTTCCCTGCGGCTGGATGCAAGCAGGGCCTGCGCTGCAGAGGGAGGGCAACACGCAGCCCGGCCCCGAGAGCAGCTGCAGGAAGCTGATCTCCTAAAGCCCCTCCAAAACATACCCACAGCTTGTGCCTCACRGGAATCACAACAGCATTCCCACCCATTTTCAACTGGATAATTTGGAAATGCAAGTGTAACAGAACCTGAAAATAAAGCAATGATAAAATAAAAAGTGTGGCATTTTTTCTGATCAGATGGCATCCCAAGGACAACAACCCACTGGTCCACTACCAGTGCTCTTCAGTTTTGTTTAATAAACCCCATCCTTTTCCTTTAAGAGGTTCCTTTAGTAGGAACAGTAGGTTCCTTTAGCTCGCATTCAAATGAGATGAGTATTAACATAACCTCAAAATAATWGTAAAAAGCTACGCTCACGGGCACACAGTGACCAAGCAAGATTTTACAATTTCACTGCCACAGCTCAATTTGCAATTAAGAACCATGTTAAGCTCAAAATGTGATTAAATGCAGCAGACAATGAGCTCATTATCCAGTGGCAGAAAGAAGGGCCTCTCAAACACCAGTTGCACTACCTGAAACAGGAGCTGCTGTCGGACTGCAGCAGAACGTTGCTGAGTTGCTCCAAGACGAATGGGCAGGGTGACAAACACCTGGTAGCTGCAGAAATCACAGACCAAGTCCTTTAYATACGGGATAACCACAAAAGAGAGAAGAAAAACTGCAAAGAGCTTCCGACAGGTGTAGCTAAAAAGAAAATATATATATTTTCCCCATTTTAAAACTACTTTGAGAGAAATTTTCAACTTAAGCAACTATAATCTCTTTTCTACAACACTAATACACTTGTAAAGATTATTGTACATGGTTAGGAGGTCCTCAGAAAGCCAGTATGCACAAAACCTCTTGGGACAGAGGATGCTCAGATATAGTTCCCTTATTCATACAAGAAAGAAGCCATGTTTAGATTCAGGCACACCTAARCTGTGCTTAGTTGTAGTTACAGGTCAGGACAACGAGATGGAATTTCAAAGGATTCCAGCACTCCTAAAGCAAAAGGACAGTATTTTGTCCCCTCACWTTACTTTTCTACAACTAAAGACAAGGAATTGAATGGTCCTTAGGTGCAATAAGCCGATTTACTTTTAAAATGCCTGCACAAAATTAAGTTTGGAATTAAGTACTTTCACGCAATTACAACCACCATCAATTATAAAAGGCAATCTCAGAGTTTTACCCAACTGCTTTTACTGYTAAGAGTTTATACAGGCATTTTCAGAACTCCTAAGACAGTGATTTGAGGCAAGCACTGATACTTGCTCGCATAAAGTGTGAGCTTTACTCTGCCAAACAAGCAGGAAATGATACTATTCAGCACAAACAGCCAAATTAAGCAATCTGTATATAAATCAGCTGAATACAGCTCAGTAAAGCAATCTGCCTATATTTCAATTACACAAATCAATCTTGTCCTACAGTTTTCCAGGCATAATGTCAGCCAAGATTTTCTGTTCTCAAGGTGCACATGAAAGACTAATTGAGGGAAATTCATTTATTTAAAAAATAAACACTGTATCAGGAAAACCTATCTGCATCCCTTGGTTAACTACATGGCAGCTTTTCAGTCTTTGACATGACAGTCCATCAGCTGTCATGTCCAAAAGTCATGAAACGGGAGTATTAATCAACTAAAAAGTGACATCCCCTGCCCATTGATATGAGTAATAGCAGTTGAAACTGGAAGACCACTCTGTATCTGGAATTAAAGTGAATAAATTAAGGTGGTTTTAAGAGTGCGCATTTGCAGATCTCAGCTAAAATGTATATAATCAAAACATTTATTTAAAAATTCTCTGGACACYAGGGTCTTTTTTTCCATTCTTTTCTCTCTGTTCAGCTACTGATTAGTAAGCATGGAATTACTATGAGGTGTGCATAAATGTATGCATTTTCTTCCTACTGTGCAGCATACAAATAAAGCATTTGGACACTTATACCTGAAAATAAACATAAGTAAAGTCCTACACGGATCCTGAAAAATTATAAAATAAAAAGCYACAGTAAGTTACCAGATAATTAAAAAGGTGAAATAGGCACCTCAACCTTGAAAAGCCCTTTCCCACTATGATATTACTGTCAGCTGCCATTACCCCTTGTCAGCCAGCGATCTGACCTCATAAATCAGGTGTAACAACCAAATGAGAGCACAAGCTAAAAATCAGCACGAGGCAGACCTGTCCACTCACCAATGAGTGGCCTGCCAAGGATCTGAGGTCACATTCAAAACTAAAAATTAATTGCAATCAATTGTATTAAAAATAAAATTWAAAAAGTCACATCAACAAGTTTAAAGTGTTAAACCAGTACCATTCTGCAGAGTTTGTGCTCGTGACTCCTTTCCCAGGTTGGCATGGAATCCTCCTCCTAAAGTTGGTGTTTTGCCTGCACCTATGAGGAGAGAGAGACAGACATGTCAAAGGCAATAACTGAATTTAAACATCAAAGGAAACCTTACTGCGCCGCTCTACTCGGTGTCTGCACAATTTACAACATGCCAAATTACATTAAGGGCAAGTGAGCTGCTTGAGGGCCTTAAAACACCATGTACAAACCCCATGGGGTTTCATTCCTCTTTGGAATGCCATGGAAAATACTTGGCACCACAACTCTCCCACTGTCAGCTTCAAAGCACAGCAGTGTGGCACCTCTTACTTTGAGCCAAACATTAAAATCAATATTGTAAAATCCTCCTCGAAGTAAAGGAGGAAACAATAGCTTGGTTGCCTTTTTTTTTTTTTTATTTTTATTTTATTTTTTTATTTCTCCAGTCTGGAGAATATTCAATACCAAATTTTAATAGCTAATTATTGGCATTGCAGAGCATAACACACGGTTACCATTCAGTGATGACTGTTGCCTCATACATAAGTAACACACACTGCAAAATAACTYGAGTTTAACATTAGGCACACACTGCAGCTTAGGCTACAAAAACTGCAAGTCTGGGACTGCTATGTTTATATCTTGGAAGGTTAGAGACTAAATTAGAGTTGTAAATGAGTATAAATGAGAGGCTGGTCCATGCACCAGTGGCAGCGCTGAGCAGCCTGAATGCAGGGAGCCCTCTGGGAGTCAGTGGAGCTACTCGGGCAATGAATGAGGCAGAACAGGGAATTCTACTGCTAAGGACAGGAATAGCCTCTCACTAAAGCAGAAGGATTTTTAAAAAAATAATAATAATAATAACAATAATCAGACTACCTCGAGCAGGGTATCAGAATCTACCAGCTTAGCAGCCATTGAGACCAAGAAACTAAATTGTAGAGGATTGAAAACAAGTAATTTGTTAGTAATTGGACTTCTGCTTGATTTCAGTAGTCTGCTCTTCAGAGTAAGAAAAATAACCTCTTGTTCGCTATCAGGCTTACAGTTTCTCTGAAGTTCCTGTGTCTCCGTTCACTCTCCATATATATAAAACACACACAGTGGTAGTAGAGTCTTATATACATCTTCTCACAGAATCACAAAGCGGTTGAGGTTGGAAGGGACCTCTAGAGATYAYCCAGTCCAACCCCCTGCTCCAGCAGGGACACTCAGAGCACGGAGCGGCATCCAGGCGGGTTGGGAAGATCTCCAGAGAAGGAGACTCCACAGCCTCCCTGGGCAGCCTGTGCCAGGGCTCGGGCACCCTCACAGGGAAGAAGTTCTTCCTCACATGCAGATGGAATTTCCTGTGTTTCAGCTTGTACCATCTTCTTCTTCATATACCAATCTTATACTCCCTATCTTCTTCAKTAGAAGACCTGATTTTAGAAACGCTTTGTCCCACCCTTCCATTTTTTTCCCTTTTAAGGTTTGCTTTACCACAGGCTACCTCAGTTCCCTAACGTACAGCAGGAGACCCGGCCCTGAAGCGCCCACGGAGCTTCCAGCAGCCGGAGSCGGGCAGGCCCGGGCGGCAGTGCTCGCCGCAGGCCGCGGCCTCACGTTCACAGAGCCACCATGAGGTGACCAGCCACCCCCAGGCCCACCGCGGTACCAACCCTACCTCCTGCTACACCAGCACCCTGAACCCTATCGGACCCTTGCCACAAAACAGCCACATGACTCGTTCACAAGTTCCTCTCTCACTAACAAGCTTATCAAAACGATATAACGCCTTCCACAAAAGAGTTTAGCTTACTCAGAAGATGAAATCGTGATAAAATAAAAAGAACAGGCTGAGATTTCAGGGTTTTTTGCTTATTGAAAGATTATTTTTAAATCAGATGTGAAGAATTGKTTTTTTTATTAGACGTGAAGGTATCACATGATAGATACTAAGTTATACTAGGCGTAATGTTATGTTAGGCATAAAATTCATTTCTGAGATATGCAGTTGGTAGCAGACACTAGCAGATCTATCTCAGAGGCAAATTCTATCAGATTTGATGCACCTGTTTCTCAGCATGTTAACAGGAAAGACTCTACATCTTGAATAAGAATGTGCAGTAAAAGCAGCAAATAAAGTCAGAAGTCTGGGGCTAATGCAGAAAAGCAACTAACGGAAGATGGGTAGTGGGAATAGCAGTGCACCTTATGGATTTTGTTTTCCTCTGAACCAAGGAACATGTAAAGATGGGGCATGAAACTTCACCTACACTGCAGTTCTAGTTGTATCTGCATTTGAGAGGAGCAGCACCATCAGCATCCCTCCCTGCAAAATAAAACTGGAAAACTCCAGTCCTTTCTCCAGGGAAATATAGGATGAAAAGCTTCAATTTAGAAGTTAAAACATTTACAGATCCACTATAAAAGCTGTAAAGAATGCAGACTGCAGGAAAATAACTGTTTTATAACCAAAGTAAACTTGGCCATCTAATCCAAAAAGTTTAGTAAGATTCCTATTTAAATTATACCGTAAATGCCAAGAAGCAGAGCAGGTCAGTGTCACATGTACTTCATTCCTACARCAGCAAAAATATACACATACAATTAAATGTTTTTGGAACATACAAAACAAAATCTATAACTGAAAGAGTGCATATCTTCTCCTGCCAGCCAATTTTGCACATAAGGGAACAGATATGTGCACACCATAGCCAGATAAAATGCTAAGACTGAACAAATTATGTAGAAAAAAAAGTTTTAGACAATTCCACTGTAGTTGACTATCTATAAGCTTATCTTACCAGTCAAGGAGATTAATATACTGCCATGCCCACTACCCTGAGTTCAAAACTGCACAGTCTGAAAACCCATGTGTCCAAGGTTACACACAAAATTCAGCACTTCCCCAATTGACAGCTGGATAATCTGCAGTACTTCAGGCAAGGAACTGTAGCGGTCCCAAGAAGAGCATAGGAGTCCTGCAGTGCCAGGAGAAAAACACAACTCAACTCCGAGGCAAGATTGCCACCTTGAGGAGATCAGAAGGCAAGCAGAAAGCAAAGGGAAATCTAGTGCATCTCCCCAAAATAAATAGGGGATAGTAGTTTTTTTGCATGAAATAGATGAGTTTCCTCTCTTCCTCCCCAAGACAAGATAAATATGGATTTGTTTTGTACTCAGAAAAGCGAAAACCTAACAAAAAGTTTTAAAAGTGTTAGGCATTCTTCAGAATTTTCCCAAAGATCTACAAATCCCAAAGATCTATAAATAAACGTGCAGAACTCGTTTCTCTTTTACAACTTAATTACAACACAGTATAATTTTAACTTAACCACAAATCAGTCTCATCTCTAGAGAGCTGGACAACAGGTGAGGACAACTTTGATGTCATTATCATGATCCTCTGTTTCAGCAACAYAAATGAACACAAATTGAACAGAAATTTCAAACACCACGACTGCAATACCGTGAACAAGTCAAACCCCAATAAAGTTCTGCATTTGAAATCAATGCACTCTCACACCCCGAGATGCAACAATATAAAAGTAAACAAGTTCCCAAAGATAAACTAGAAAGTGAAATTTGACAAGGAGCTTCCATAAGCACACTTGAGAAGTGGAACGTACTGCAGTTTAATTAAAGGCTATGCTACATTGCAATGCCCTTGGCAAATTTAGAGTGTCCCTTTGGCATTTATCACACAAGTCACTCCGTGCACTGCAGTAAATGGCTTAAATTTTCTTTTTTGTTGCAAGTCCATTGTAACTGCAAGGAAGCTTCCCTTGATACACCAGAGTGCCCAGACATTTKAAACAGGCCACTAACAAATGCTGGGCAGCCCCTCACACCGGGAGCCGCRGCAGGTTCACCTGAACCTGAGAGGTCCCAGCTCCCAAGTCTCATTTCTTCCTACAAACCAGAGGCAGCAAATCACTTTACCCAAGCAACAACTTGTCCAGTAGATTCACTTCAGCACCTGGAGATCTCCTGAACACTTGGAGAGTCTTTATGTGCACACACCGCACAAGGGCCACAAGTCCAGGTTCACCTGAGCACACAGCAGTGCTTAAACTGCAGTGACATCCTCAGCGTCCCTCCCTTGCAGCCCTCTGCTTCTGTGACTGTCCGTGGAAGAGTTATCCCCCTCAAATGGCCCGGGCTACTCATCAGGAGCACATTGAAAGGCTCATGCATTGCTATATCTCCTCCTATATACACTAACGACTGCATAGTTTAAGTGAGAACTGACAAGCCGACATTTAGAGAAAACACACATTTGTAATTTAGTGTATTACATATTTTTATTGAAAGCCACAAAATAAAAATGTATTTTTCCTCATTAAAGGCTAATTTAATACTAATTTAAGCCACTCGGCCTGTTCARTCCCATATAGATGCACTGGTGACGAGCATTCGCACAGATCTCAGACACAGGAAAGTTCCATAAGGTAAGAAATCCACTTTGGCAGCCACTCCATAAATCCCCCTACTGAAGCTTTCCACAACACACATCAGACGATGACAAATCCTGCAGGCCTGGAGCTGACAAATGGCCCCCGTTCCACCAACTTGTCTTCTCCATCCCACAGTTCTGTCATCACAGTGACCATCTAAACACATTTCACTCTAGTAGGAAAATAGAGGATCAGAGTAACAACCTGGGAGCCCAACCACCTCTGCTTACCCACCAGGGACATTTTTATGACAGCCATCAGTAACTGAGCGCTACAGTTTTCTTCATATAACTACTTAACTCTTTCAATCAAGTCTAGTAGAGAAGGAAAGACAAGATCATCACCTCAACATACATTAGGGATCCTCCCTGACTGCTGCTATCTCAGCCTGGTTGACATTGGACTTCTGGAGGGCYATCACCCTTAGCATTATCTCTCTATATGCAGTCTCATGCAGACAAAAAAAAAAAAAAAATCTTCCTCCCCATTATGTGCATTACTTCTTTCCCTGCTATTTAGTTCCCTTTCTTTGGCAGTCCCTTATGAAGGTTTCAGAAAACTTCATGATGTTTCTGAAAGGCAACTAACAGGACTCTTGGTGTACACTCCACCTCTGTCAGATTA